GCCGTTTTCTTCTGAAACTCGGAGAAGTGTTGCTCCATGAGTCTCAAGAAGAATGCAAAGATCTCAGCCATGTTGGTGGTGAGTGCCTGATAAATATCTTTTCGTCTTTGATTGGACTCAAGTGTCTGTAACAGTGCAACATCCTCTACCAAGCGAAGAAAAACGAGGAGAACAACTTCAGTTTGGGCCTCACCTCGTGTGCAAGCCTGACTCAGTTCAGCTAACAAAGTCGGCCACTGCTGGGGCCATTCCCTTTTTATCATCTCTACAATTACCCGAGACATGGCATCCTTAATGTGTGTTTCCTCTTGGAGTCCTCCATTTTCCATTCCCTCTTGCAGCAGTTTCATAGAATTCTCCTTAATAAATACCTTTTCACTCTGAGATATCTGTGTCCAGCGATACTTGATGCAGTGCTCCATCAGTTGAAGACCAAAGTGACGTACCACTGAACTATTATTTGGTGATATTTGGGCGAGATATAAACCACATTGAGCACAAAGTGGTGAAGTCTCCTTGAATCTCTCGCAGGCATTGTAAACGTCCAATCGTTGTTGATGCGGAACGTCTGGAGACATCATTATTTCAACGACACGTGCTAGCTCTGCTGATATTTGGGCTACATCACCAACACCAAACTCCATTTCTCTCAGCGAGGATTCAACTCCTTTTCTTCAGTCTTGAATATTCTTACCGAAACCTCTACAGATGCAAACGATAATTTTATTATTTAATTCAGTAGTTTTTTTATTTGTCAGCAATTACAAAAAGTGCGAGGTGACAATTTTGACATGCTTTTTTCACTGGCAAACAGACTTACGGCAACAAAAAAAAAACAAACGCGATAAGGAATAAATCGTTGGTAATTATTTTCATAATCATTCAACTTTTTCAGAAATTTTTAAAGCGCTTTTATGGGAGAAAAGCTGTGAAGTTTTGAGGTGTAATTTTTTTGAAATAATTATTTACCTGTCTGATGCTGGATTTGTAGCATTAAAAAATTGATAAAAGTATGATGTTATACGAACAGACTCTGATGAATTGCGGCTGCGGCACGTTGGGGAACCATGGGCTCTCTCGGAATAAGAGTGGCGGATCGTGTAATTTTTTTGATATTAAATGCACATGAGCGCTGTCAGTGGCAATCCTGAAGATTAAGGTAGAAAATGGCTGACTAAAAGCCGGTTTCCTCAAAACTATCCACTAGTACTCAGCACGTCGTTGTTTGTTTTTCTCAGTAATTGTTTTGATATAATTTTTTTTTTGGAATGGATGAAGCCATTTATTCTCCTGCCACCTCCAAATTGACGTTTCAAGATCAAATTTACGCAGTGAAATTGTCACCATACGAATGGTCACAGAATTTCATTTGTATTGCGTTTGGTGAGGAAATTTCGGTTGGAACTCTCAAATTTCAGGTACAAAAATTTATTTAACAGTCTACTGAGCGGTTTCCATGGATATTTTCAAGGTGCAATGTTTGAATATGTTGCAGGATGAAGAAGACGTGACTGAAGATATAGCTTACACTCCAATTAGAACTTTTCATCATGATACTAGAGTTCATTCCATTGCCTGGAGTCCAGAAACTTCGTTGAGTGTTGTACCAAAAATTGTAGCTTTTTCTATTGCTGGAGCTGATTTTAAAATACGTCTTTACAACAGTAATCTTAATGACGTCAATGTTTATGAGGTAATAATCAGTTACAAAATTGTTGAACTGAATAGATATTCAAACGACGAACGATGATAAGTTTCT